TTGAGTAGTCCTGCTATATAACACCATCTAAGGATAACCTCTGAAATCTCGACTCCTTAGAGTGAGATCACCCTATCTAATTAGGCCTTTGACTTTTTCAAAGTAACTTATTAGCATTATTTAAGAGTAACTCAATTTTACTAGTCATTTTTATTAGTAAAAAAAAAACAAAAAGTACAATCTTTATTTTAACTAATGACTAGTCTAACACTTGTCTCTCTCTCTAGTTCTCAATTGCTATATTTCTTTTTAGGTACATCGGAAAACCTTAATTGCTATATTTGAATCATAAGTTTAGATAAGGATTTGAAAAATAAACGAAAAAAGAAAAAGATGAGTGGAATATAATTATGGAGAAGTAACAATAGTTAGTTTTTTTTCCTTCTATAATGTCATGAAAAACAGTTAAATAAACATGGGCAAAAATTGAAATTGTAATAGTGATAGTAATAGTAATTATTTATGGTCACTGATAATATTAAACAAGGAAAATGGATATAGATAGATGGGAAGATTAAATCCTAGTAACCAGCTCAAAGACAGAATGGAGCACATAACAAGAAGAAAACTAGACTCACCAAGCAAATTTCTCCGACATGTGCAACATGGCAGCCGCCGTACAATAGCCGATAGGGGGAAAAAGGTTAATTTGTTCAGTTCAACATGAAATCAGCTTAACAAGCTAAGAAGCGCTCTGGGACTGGATAGAATCCAACTAATCCAGCTCAAGCCAAGATCAAATGAAGTAGGAATCCACTGAAACTAATGAGGAACCCACTACTTGGTTTGACCCAGCTCATTTTTACCCTACATACAAGGGTTACACTCTGTTTGTGTGTGCACATATTTAAGACACCCTCAATATACTTCACCCTCAAACTAAACCAGGTATATTTTCAAACAGCAAGGGTAAACTAAATTCCAATCAATATTAACTAAGAGGCAAGATGGACTTTCTTGCACACATCACGGATTTCCAGTCATGTTCAACAACTTATTCTAGCATTATGGCAATACTTATTATTAAAATATTGAAAGACTATTTACATCACGTGCGTTCCTAAGACATCCTCAATATATTTCACTGTCTAAACAAGGTATATTTCCAAATAGCAAGGATAAAATAATTTCCAATCAATATTATCTTGCGGGGCAAGATGGACTTTCTTGCACACATTGCAGATATGATCCAGTCATGTCCATCAATTTATAATAGCATTAAAGGAATACTAAAACTTTCAAAGATAATTCCTTTCTAGACTGATATCGTAACATTAATATATAATCAACACATTAAAACTTATTCAAAAACAAGAAGAATTGAATTTGGAATTGAAAATTTACAGGGGTACTGCCACGTGTTTTGAGTGGATTGAAAATTTACGTGCCACGTCCCAAAGACGGTAGCCCTATGGTGGAAAGCGGATTTTTGAGCTTGTACACGTCACAGACTGCCACCTGTCTAAGTCTACGCGATACAGTAAAGGAAGAAGTAAAATGAATCCTCCAATCATACGGTGATGAGCCCCTTAGCATTACAATTGTAGGCCATAGTCTTGGAGCTGCACTATCTACTCTCACCGCATATATATGATATAACCACCACTTTCGATAACCCATCGTTGGTCACAGTCGTTTCATTTGGTGGACTACGTGTCGTGAATAGAAGTTTCCAATCTCAGTTAGACAAAAGTGGGACCAAGATTCTCCGCATCGTGAACTTGGACGATCTCATCACTAAAGTACCAGGTTTTGTGGTCGACAACAGTGACATGGCAGACAGCAAACCTGTCCAAGTTGCAGGGCTGCCAAGCTGGCTTCAAAAGCACGTCGAGGACACACGATGGGTATATGCTGACGTGGGAAGAGAGCTTAGACTCAGTAGTAGGGAGTTCCCCTACCTCTCCAAAGGAAACATCACCACGTGTCATGATCTTAAGATGTACCTCCACTTGATCAATGGTTTTGTCAGCTCCACGTGTCCTTTTAGAGCAACTGCAAAGAGGGTGTTAGAAAGAAGAACAGCTACAATTCAAATGATGATAAGCCTTGTTTGGCAAGAGGCTATTTTAGTCAATTAGTCAAAAAGTTACTAAATTAGTCAAAAAGTCAACAACTCATACCAAAAAGTCAAAGATTCTTTTTTCTCTCTACTTTTTGCACATCTTTTCGTAATTAGCCAAAAAGTCATCCCAAACATATAAGTTTTTTTTACCTACATTTTTAGCCAAATAGTCAAAAAATTACTAAATTAGCCTGTTCCCAAATGAGGCCTAGGATTCATTGGTACATAGATTTTTGTCTGTACAAAAAAGTGCACATGGCAAACGCATGTGAGCCCTCAAACCAAAAGGGAAAATTGCTCTGATTATTTTGTGAGCATCTTTCCTTGTATGATGAGGCTATTTATTTCGTAAAAATTAAAGAGCGATTTTGAATAATTACACCTTTTCACACTTTCTATGTGAATGCTACTGTATTCAAATCTCTCTCACATGAAGTAGTTGAGTTTTTTTGAACAACTCATTCAACAATTTATTATGTCTGAAAATTGATTTAAAAAATGGTCAAAAAATCAAAGTATGTAATCAAATTTATTTTATGTATAATTTATATTACGTTAAATTTAAACCTAGCTGCACTATATATGTACTTTAATTTTTTGACTACCTAGTAGACTAATTTTCTTCACTCCTTTATTTTTTGTTTTTCAATGATGGGAAGTTTTGAACCCTTGGCATTGAAAATTAAAATATAAAAAACATATGTATTAAAGTCAAAGGTTTATTTGTTGTTAACTTTTATATGTAAGTAAAAAGTTAAGAGTTTAAATATTATCGCATGTAAGAGCATTAAGAAAAACAATACGTATCTAATAGAGTAAAGACTACTTGAAATTTGACCTCAGAGCATTTTTGACAGTGCTATATTGTGAAATGATAAATTGGTCGATGTCGATGTAGTGATGCACTAATCATTTTTCAATTTCTTCACAAAAAAGTTAAAATCAAAATTTTATTTGTAAATCTCATTGTGAAAGAGAAAAAAATAAAAATTCTAACAAAAATTTTATATTTTATGAAATTCTTATATAAAATTCAACAATATTAGGGTCCGTTTGGTTTAATTTTAAAATAATAATTTGAGTGTGGAGTTTTTGAATCATATTTGAAAAGAAAATATTTGTTTGGTTATAAGTTTTGAAAATAATTTTGGAATTATTTATATATATATTTTTATTGATTGATATAAAATGTGAGAGAATGTGAGAGTAGAGATGAGTGAAAAAGTGATTGATTAATAATATATATATATATATATATATACAAGAGGAGTTTTGAAAGTAATTCTGAATTGTATTTTAAAAATATATTTGATTAATATGCTTCATTCAAATCATCATTTAAAAACAAAATCATAATTTGAAAATTAAACCAAACGCTACCTTAGTTTTTGACTTCATTTTCAACATTATTAAAGCTTTGGTTTTTAAGGCTATGTTTGGTATAGGCTTTTTTGGCTATTTTAGTTACAAAAAAATAAAATAGGTTAAAAAGTTAATAAGATAAAATGTCACATCTAAACCACAATTATTTTATTTTTTTCTCTCATAAAAGTAAAAAAAAACTAAAAAGTTCAACCCAAATAAAGATTTTTAACCCCAAACTAAAATAGTTAAAAAAAATTAAAAAAATCAAAAAATTAACCTATGTCTCAAACAAAGGCTAAGTAAAATTGTTAGTGTTTTGTGTTTTCTATATTTATTAAAATATTTTTAAATAGTACATAGATATTTTTTTATTGGTTGGATGCACCATAACTATACAATTCTAAAAACACTAGATAACTACTAAAAAATGTAATAGTTTGTTTGGTTTTGATTTTCAGAAAAAAGGTTTCAAAAAATCTACTTTTTTATTTTTCGTATTTTAATGTTATCAATGAATTTTTTTAATATTTTAAGTAATTTTTTTTAATTTTTAGACACACTTAACATAAATACATTTAAAGTATAATATTTGTGAAAAAATCTTTAAAAAATACACTAAATACCAAAAAATACAAAAAAAAACAAAAAAACAAAAATTTAGTATATTTCTCATATTTGTATGTATTTATTAATTTTTTAAAATATTTTTTCACAAATATTTTATTATTTAAATACATCCAAGTAAGGTGCACCTAAAAAAATAGAGAAAATTGCTTAAAATTAAAAAAAATATTCACTAAAAATAAAAAAATAAACACGAAAAATAAAAAATAAAAACTCAATTTTTTAAAAATTGAATTCAAAAACTGAAATCAAATACATTTAATTTTTTTTTATTGGTTGGATACACCATAACTATGCAATTCTAAAAATACTAGATAAAAAACTACACGTGCTGGCTCCCTTTGAAATTTCACCACGTGAGCAAAGAAAAACTTTTTTTTTAACGCGTCTTACGTCATCACTGTTTTATGTTGGTACGTCATCATTACTTTGTCGTAATCAAGATTTTGTTGTTGTTAAAACGTCATTACTTGGCCCTAATCAAGATTGTCAACCACTAAACACTCAAGATTGTTGGCTGAGCAATGTTTTTGATTTTGTTTAGAAAAATTATTTAAGATGATCTAAATAAGTATATTTTTATACTTTTTATGAAAAGATATATTTATTTTAATTCAAGGTTTTAAATATATGCATAGTGATTTTTAAATATATGTATAGTGATAAAACAAATTATCACTATACATAAAGCAAGCATAATATAGATTATGAAATGATGAAAGTGTTCAAACACAAAATTTTGAAGCATCTCAGTTGAAAATATTAAAGCAAAACAAGCAAGCATAATATAGAGTATCACACAAAAGCAAAATAGGGTGCTGCCCGGACACTCGATTAAAAATAAAAAAAATAAAATAAAATAAATAGAGTATGAAATGATGGAACTGTCGAAACACATAATTCACCATCATCATCATTTAATCAGCAGCCCATGAAAGTGACTCTCTCAAAAGCCAAGGTCATCTGGTAGTGAAACATTATTGAGGACATGACTAATCGCCGCCGCGGCCAAGACTCGGGCAAACCATCCTCTTTTTTTCTTCTTTGCAGGCTCAGCCTGTTCTTGCACTTGCACCATAGCAGGCGGCGGAGGAGACGACCCCGCTCCGGCAACCTTCTCATCTTCCCACTCAAACATGAAATTGAGCGTACCGTTGGGATTTCCAGAAGGGCTTCGAACAAGAAAGGTCAGACTACCCTCGATGGAGCCCATCAGGGCTTTAACCTTGACGAACACTTCGCCAATGACCTTATCTTTGCCGTTTTGATCACAGCAGTTGAGCTCGAACACGAGAACCTGGGTCTCCGCGGACTCCTTATCTAAGTTGAAAGTGATCTGACCGTTCCAGGTCAGGTTTGTGTCACCATCTCTGTCCACGGCTGTCTTCTGCTTTCCACCGCCAGAGATGAAGACGTACGCGCACACCTCCATCTTGTTCAAAAGTTGGACTCTCTGGAGATCTTTGGCCGATATCAACGAGATCTTCAGAGTGCGTTGATTCTTCTCCATGGTGATCTTAATTCCTCAATTCAAACGGAAACGGAACCCTAAAATGAGTGAGAGAGAGAGAGGGAGAGCGCAGGGAGGAGAGGACTGCGGAGTATAGACCTTTTATAGGGAAGTTAGGTGGGGGAGTGTAGACACTGAAGATATGGTCGTGGAAGATTGAGGCTCATTTTGGTACATACTAATCAAAAGATAGAAAAAATCATGAAATATCTGGTAACGTTTTTTTTATCATCTCTAATATTATTATGGAAGATTAGGACAATTATGATTCATTGACGGTATGATCGCCTGGTGCCTCCTAACAGTTTCCTTATAAGCTATACAGTTATGGAATGTGGTGGCCAGGCTTTCTCATTAAGTTTAGATGGGTTCAAATCCCCTGTCCCCATTTCCTATCCCAAGTCCCTATCCCATTCTTCATTAGCTGCCACGTGTTCATTAATAAATGTTAATTTTTTATTAATTTTTTAAAATACACCTGCCTTATACTACGGATTATGAAAAAAATATTATGAAAATAATCATGAAAGTTAGGCTAATTTAGGATGCAGATAAAATAATTTCATACATAAATATATAAATAAGTTTCATCAGTTTATAAGTGAGTAAATATGACAGCTGTGTTATTCCAAATATGAAATACACAAATGGAAGATAAAACTGTTCCTCATTATGTATTTAAAACTTTTTGTGCACTCAAAATTTTTCTTAATAAATTCTTAAATTACATATCAATAAATTTAGGGTTTAATTCACCTTACCCCTTGGGATTTGGGATTAGAGTACTTTACTCTCTTATTATTTAAATATAGTCAGATAGGCCTTTTACGGTTTTAGATCAAAGTGCTACTTTTAATTTTTCCATCAAAACTAATGGAAAATATATTACACACTATTTTTTAGAGTGACTTTTGTTTTTTTGAAAAATTAGAATAAAAGTAATACAACAAAAGGATAATTTTAACCCCATTTTCTCCAAATCAAAAATTAGATTAATAGGTTAATTAAAATAAAATAAAATAAAATAAAATAAAATATAAAATATAATTAAGAATTAATTTAAAATATAATTAAATAAATTATAAAATAAACAATAATTAAGATGTGATCTAAAATGTAATTAAATTAAAATTAGATTAACATAATTATAATAAATAATTAAGAATTTAGAATTAATTGTGATATAAAATATAATTAAATTAAAATTATATTAAAAAATTAGTAATTATAATTAATATTTAAATATTTAGGATTAATTGTGATCTAAAATACAATTAAATAAAAATAAAAATAAAAATTTAAGAATTACAATAAATAATTAAGAATTTATAATTAATTGTGATCTAATTGAATTAATAATAGACATTAAAAATTGGGAGATGCTTCTCTATAGTCCACTATGTAAACTGGAGTATACTGTTGGGCATGTGGAGTCCACCATAGGTCAAGTTTCGATAATCCGAATCGTTCAATATGTAGAACTCGTCGAGTACTTTATGCTTACAAAAAATCACGTTAATCGGATATCGGTAGCCCCTTGATCGAAACTCATTTTTGTCAATGGTAAATATAATTTTAAAAATAAATTGTTAATAAAAATATTTTTTGATCAAAGGGCTAACGATATCCGAGTAACGTGATTTTTTATAAGCACAAAATACCCGATGAGCTTTACACATTGTATGATTCAAATTATCAAAATAAAACCTGTGATGGGCCCCATGAATTCGATAGTACGCTCTAGTCCACACAATGGACTAGAGAGAAGTCTCTCTCTTAAAAATTATATGTATGAAAGATGAGGAAAAATAAAAAAATAAAAAATATAAGATTTGAGGGTATTATAGTCATTTTACGTTTATAATTAATGGAATTAACAGTTATATTTTAGTCTACAATTATATAATAGTATAAGACTATTTTTAAAAGATAAGGAAGTAAAATACGATCAAATGATGTCATAGAGAGATAAAATAAATCTTATTCATAAATTTATTAATTTTTATCATCTAACCATGAAATTGGTTTGGCCATTGATGAAAGTTGCGTTCGATTTTTTGTGCACCCTTATAAGAAACATGTGAAATTCGATAGTACGCTCGAGTCCACACAATGGACTAGAGAGAAGTCTCTCTCTTAAAAATTATATGTATGAAAGATGAGGAAAAATAAAAAAATAAAAAATATAAGATTTGAGGGTATTATAGTCATTTTACGTTTATAATTAATGGAATTAACAGTTATATTTTAGTCTACAATTATATAATAGTATAAGACTATTTTTAAAAGATAAGGAAGTAAAATACGATCAAATGATGTCATAGAGGGATAAAATAAATCTTATTCATAAATTTATTAATCTTTATCATCTAACCATGAAATTGGTTTGACCATTGACGAAAGTTGCGTTTGATTTTTTGTGCACCCTTATAAGAAACATGTGAATATATAATAACAAAAATATTTCATGCCCCATTTTTCTCCCACCCCTTTTGACTCCCTCTTTTTCTCATTGGTTACATTTTTTTTTTCCTACTCCTCCGATCACCACCCACCACATGTGTGTGGGAATTGTGGGAGTGGTGATTGGAGGGGGAGACACCCCCTCAAATCGCTGTTTACAAGAGTACTTGGTACTTAGAGACTTGTTTTGGGAGTAGAGAAAAAATTAATTTATTGATATTTTTTTTTAAAGAAATTGTGTAAAAAATGTAACTCAAATAAATTAATAAGTTGATTTTATTTTTTAATATATATTTTTTATTTTATACTACTGTTGGCTTTTTGGCTTTCGAAGGTTATTTTTGTAATTGCGAGCGTGCCAGCAAGGATCAATCAGTCCTTACAAAAAATTAATTGCCAACTAATTATCAAACGATTGTGTTTTAGTTTTTTCAACCTCAATGAAGAGGACTTTTACTGGTGGCTTGATTTAGGAGAATTAAGCAAGATAACAATTAAATGAATAACAATTGAAATATTTCATAGAATGAAAAACTTACAATGATCCAAACTTAGCCTCGTAGAGGTTTACAGCAACAATCTATCACTTGAAACTACTCCTATGAACGAAGTGCAGTGCAAGAATTTAAAGTATAGGAATGTAAAGAACAGGAAATGTAAGACTGAAAATGTAAAACTGAAAAGGAAAATAAGTAGAATAAGACTGGTTTTTTGGATCTGAGTCTGGGTCTTTTTTTCTGCGTCTTCTCTGCTATTTATACTTCTCAAGGATGACCATCGAACTGCATTTCCAACCGTCGAACTGCTCCTCCATGATCGTTGATCATGTTGCCTTATAATTAGCTCCACTATGCTATCTCTTGCAGTTAGACTTCCCTCATAAATTTTGAATTTAAATATAAGTAACCGTTAAAGTCACGTCACCCTGTATCTCTTTGTTCATCCACTGCTACTCAGATCTCGTAATAACCAATATTAACTGTCACATGTACGATCAGGATCGAAGACTTGAATAGTCTTCATGTACTACCCTTTTTTTGCCACACGTCGAATTATAATTGGCTTGTACAAAATATGTAGCCAACATTACCCCCCGCACTAATATATCCAATACTTGATGATATTAGTGGATCAAGGTCTTTTATCCACGTGTGGATGCGCCCCAAGGGACTTATGCTACCACAGTTCGGACTCGTTTTGTCACGGTTCTTAATCTGAACCAAAGAGTCCAAATCCGGCAAATCGTTTTGAAAAACAGATTTTTGAAAAGAATTGCCAAACATGGACTGCTTTGCCAGATACAAAGTGGTCACCTAAATATTTTTTTATGAGGGAATTTAGGAAACCCTAACTCGGTGCCAAAGGCCACGTCTCCGTCATCACCAAAGTTGCCTCGGCTCGGGAACTTGGGTACGATTGGGGAAGGTCAGCTATGAGCACCCACTCTCGCCCGATCCGAAGATCGGCCTCTACTAACCATGATATCCGATTTTGAAAACGTTATGTGTTCTTATTCCAGTTAATTAGCTAGAATTACTATGTGATGCGCACAACACAAAAATATAGACTAGATCGCCTAATTTGGAACGAAGCATTGCATATCCATTTGTTTGAAAAACAATTTGAAATTTGCTACTCGCAAATAGGCTAAAGCACGGATTTCAACGAGTTGTTCCAACTCAAACAATCCAACCTTCACCCACAGGCATTCAAGCAGTTTATATCACATAAGCATCTAGCCACATGGTAAGCATGCTGTCATGTTGACATTCACACTCATGCGAGATGCTAAAGCATAAAAATACTTACAATGTACTCCGAGCCAAGACAAGAACATGTTAGAAATCAATGCATGATCCAAGTCCATGTTAAGTGGCTAATGCAACGCATACAGAATGCAATCTAGAATAGGCTCGGCTAATCTAAGGATGACATGTGAAAATACACAGATAGCATGTATTCAAGTTAGATTTGAAATACTTTATACAGTTAGCATGATGCGCCGAGCCTGATGTATGCAAGACTAATGAATGATGCACGCATGCATAGCATAAGGTATGCTAAAGTAAACATGTCCTAATACTAACCATCAAAAGCAGGTATTTGGCACGAGTCACGAGTTTCCCAAATTTCCTAAAATAAATTATTAGGTGGCGACGTTGATATCTGGGAAAGCAGTCCATTTTTGGCATTTGATTTAAAACTAATTAACCTATAAGCTAATTAAATATTACAGACCAATTAATTAATTAACAAATTAACTAATCTAATGAAAGCAGTAAACAGCCTCGGGAAGAGGACCCAATGCAATGCGCGCTCGGCTTCGCTCGGAAAGCCACTGCCATGCACAAGTTGCCTCTGCTTTGACTGTTATCCTTCTCTGAAGACTGCACAAATCTCAAGGTTGCTTCCCTGAATGTTGTGGAACACCACCAACTGAGGGAATTGGTCACCGGCTATGGAGAATGGTCACCAGCCACAAATTAATCCATCGGCCACTTATGGATGGCCGGTCGGCACTGCAGATGGCCGGCCGG